ATGTGATGTCACATTTTCCAACTATGTTGGGACCAATCGCGTCAGCCAGATTTCTATCCAGTATTTCTATAGCTATTATCCATGCGTCCAGTAGACTACCCAGGGAGGCCAGAGTGGAATTGATTTTGTACAATGTTGGCCCAGTCACTTTTGCGCAAGTCGAATCGGCCATTTTTTCGAGTTCCGCGACGTCTGCTGGTTTCGATTTCTTAGCTGGGACAGTTCTATTTCTACGAGCCTAGTTTTTCTTTTATTTACCGTTGGAGTTAGAATTTCGTGGAAAAAGTGGTGTTGGAAAGGGAGAAATGGCAGCTGAAATTTCATCTCTTGTCACCTAACTTCTTTTAAGTTTCTTATGCTGTCATTTACGTTTTGATGGATTCTAGGTCCCAAAAAGCCCGACCCTTCTGGTATGCTCTATGACAATAGCTGAATTGTTTATAAATAAGTTAGATCAAACACACGAAAATCGAAATCGTAAATAAATTAAGAAAAAAAAATGTGGACAGGAGGGGTAAATGCGGCCCTACTATGAGCCAATGCACTAGGATGTTGATGAAGACATATAGGTGAAGGAGGCTTAAATGTATTATATTACGTTAACGTGTTTTTTTTTAAGTTTGCTTTTACCATTCTTGTATTTTCTTTCGTTTTCATGGCAGAGACCGTTGGAATGCTTTCGATCTCCTTATCCTCGTTATTTATATTTCTGCCTTATTGCCATTGAGGATTGTCACATGGGTGGATTCAGAATCAGTAAACAACAACGCGAATTTGGCAATAGCTGGTTATCTGTACGGCCTCAACACAATGCTTCTCACGTTTAGAGCTTTTGGATCCATTTTGGAGAAACCTGAAGGCATTGGCACTATACAGATCGCATTTTTTCACATCATCGGAGATGCAGTTCTGGTAGTGTTACACTTTTTAGTAATGACGTTGGCCTTTGCGAGTGCCATAACTAAGGTATTTGTGACCGAGAAGACAATGGCAAGCGAAGGCACCTCAGGAAAGCAACCGTGAGTTTTGTTCCAAATAGTATATAATAATAATAATAATAATAACAATAATAATAATAATAATAATAATAATAATAATAATAATAATAATAATAATAATGGAACATACTTTATTGATGGAGTTACGGGGGGGGGGGGGGGGGGTACATATAAATAAAAAAAAAAAAATAATAAAAAATAATAACAACATAATAATAAGTATTAAAATATTACATATACATATCATTACGATAACATAGCTGTTGTTGGCGGGGGGCAGGGGGGAGGTGGCTTAACTCATTTTTTGACTTTTGAGCACCAAAAATCCAGCCTTCCAGGGGGCATTTTGAAATTGCCATAAGACCCCACTGGTAAATTGTGCTGCCAAATGAATTTGACCATGAACTCTACTATAACAGAGCTTTCCGTTCATGCATGTAACTTTGTCCTCAAGGTATTGCACAGAGAGGAGCCTGAGGCTAGAGTTTGGCCAGAATTGATGTTAAAATTACAACCCAAAATAGCCATTTTTCAAAATTTCAGTATGTTCACCTGCCTTCTTGCATAACTTCCATACCTACACCACTGTTTACTTTAGTCACCCAATTATCAAAATAAGTTGAGAAAAATTTGGCTTATTATGATTTATTGAATTTTTGTCTCTCTAAGGTGATGCAAAATGGAATTTTGAGCATAATTCAGGCCATAAACAAACCAAATTGTTGAAAAGAAGCCCTTATTCTGTATTTGGCAAGTGAAAATGAATTTTCAAAGCCACACCAGTCTCGTTGTTTAGAAATACACCGACTCTTACCTAAAACTGATCTAAAACGGGCCTCTGATTAACACACCAAACACATGATTTAGCAAAACAAGGGTGATTTTTTCTTTTTTTTCTTTGGCAATCAACTGTGCTAAACGGCTAGGATACATGAAGCTCTCCTTTCCCATTCCGCCAGTTGTGGTGAAGACCAAAGGTGTAAATATTCTATGCTCGATGTCCAGGACTCTCTTGCAGTAGAGACGCTTTTTCTCGTTCTCATGGATACGATAAATTTTTTGTGACTCTGGGTCCCTATACGATACAGCATAAGGGTGACAGACCCTCACTTCGAAGAATGCTGATCAATGTCGCTCCGAGAAACCACGTGCGTGGATATCTAACCTCGCTTCCTGAGCTTTGTTAGATCGTCTCTTTAAATGTTTGCCGGACTTGTCTTGAAGTACTGGCTCGATCGCGACATCGCTACACACCATACTCGAAAATTCAGCTTCGAGATCTCTTAGCTCGTTGTGGCGTTGAGTAATAAAACGTCCTGCAAATCATAGAGTGATCAGCCGTAAAGGCTTCCCCACAAGAAAATGTGGAGGGGATATCTTCCACTGGCCAGTCTTAGCGTAGTTTAACGGCATCAAGGAATTCCCTCTTATTCAGGTTAAAGCCTTAATCCTGGAGGGGAAGCACTGTTAGCCATGCTGATGATCCCTTTTCTGTCGCCAGATCTAATGCTCGCTGAGTCTTTCTTGGTGCCATCTCCTTAATACGCTCTGCCATGTGCTCGAGTTGATCTTTCACTTCTTACTTCCTGATGTGCTAGTTTTGTGAGGGAGTCTTCAGGTAACTGATGTGACTGAGATACAATTTGCTCAACAAGGGGCTATGTTACTTTGACGGACGAAGCATATTCTCGCCTTGCTTAAAGGAACGGACGGGTTTCCCAGACCCAGGCCACCCAAGCGAACTGGCAGCGCTAAAATATTCCTATCCAGCTGATTACACTTGCGCTCAGTCATTGATCCAATTGGTCACCTTTTCGCTAACATATTCCTCTTAATAGTCCCTTGATCCTATTGCCGCCCCAGGGTGTTTCTGCCCTTGTACTAGGGAACTTAAGATGGAGACGTTTTCGGGGCGATGGCAACTTAAACCGGAAGTGACGTCATGATTTGTGCAATATTGCGCATGCTCTTGTTGACCACATTGCCGTCGTGCTCCCGTCGGCGACGTGAAACTGGTCTTTTTGGCGTTGTGGCGAGAACGTGAGTGTTTAACTTTCATTTCAATCAGGTTTGTTGCGTTTAGCAACCAGAATTTTGCAGATTATCGTTCTTAAATGGTCCTTATTTTCTTTGAGTCACATTTCAAGCTGGATCTACAAGCTCTGTTATCTAAACTTGTATCTTTATAATGTTTCTATTTTTCATGTCACAGAGTCAAGATCCAAACATGGCAAACAGCAAACCGTAAGTGAGCTTTACATGGACAAAAAGTGTCCAGACAAAAAGTATGAACTCAGATATTTTAATTGTGTGTTTTTAGCTCACTTTTTTCGTTAGAGTATCGTATGAATGTAACTTTGGTATTGAAAATTGTTTAGAATAATAATAATAATACCACGTACTAAGGTGGGAATACTGAAATAAAGTTGTTGTTGTTGCTGTTATTGTTGTTGCATGCAAGCAAATACGCATTACTTTTCTTGATTCTTTATGCGTAGCCATATTTTCCTCTTCGGTAGTCTTCCAAGGCGCCGTCCTCCTGAGTTCACTGCGATCTTAATGTTCGAATTTTGGAGGGAAGCGACGGCAACCTCTGTTCCAGGCTTGCACTGCCAGTCCGGTTGCCGTCGCCCCGAAAACGTCTCTATCTTAAGTTCCCTACTGTTACGTTAATGGACGTGTCCTTAAAAGCTTCCCTGACACTTTCTTCCTTAGCTGGTTTTGCGATGATCCAGCATTTCCTGTCGTTCGAAAAATAACCAAAATCCGGACCAAGGGTGCTAAGGGCATCCCATCAAGTCCTAATTTCCATAATGGAGCCAGCTGCACTAGCATCATCTGCAAACCAACATTGCTTCACAATGGACGCTGCTTGTAGACTCGTAATTAAAGGCTGGATGCTTAAGGCATATAGACCCATAGCAAGCGGATCGCCCTGTGTTGTTCCTTCTGCTGACATGATCTCTTTCCCACCAATAACAAATAGCCGAACTGGCTGTGTGTAGGTATTAATAGCGTAAATTGCTATTATAGGACACAGAATCCGGATGTTGTGCAGTGCAGCTGCTCTGTTGAGTGCGTTGAATGCATTAGAGGAGTCGAAAAGCAGTACGGCATCAGTGTCATCTGAATCAAATATAGTATGCATAGCGTGTATTGCAGCCTCGCAATGTAATTCTTTTCTGAGAGCTTCTCGGCTAGGCGTTTGAGAAAGCAGTTGCAGTCGGCTCCCATCCCACCGTTGGTTTCAAGAACTAGGGGAGTAAAGGATCCCATTTCAACGTCCAGCACCCTCTGTTAGTACTTCCACTTTTTCTCCTCCTCCTGCTTCTTAAAGATTGTGGATGTTTCTTTTGACCACAGCAGATCCGAGGGTAGAGTGGAATCAATACTTTCCATTCTCGATTTCACCGGCGCAGTTTTCAAGGCTTGATGTTGTCTTTTTAACTTTTCCGTGGAATTCTCGCCTGAGACCATGAACATGCTCTGTGTGGTAGTAGAATCTACGTGTGGTGCTGTTATTAACGTAGAAACAGCAAACTGCTGTGGAGCTTCAATCCGTAAGTCGGGTACGCCTAGCCCTCTTTGATCGGGTGTCAAAGTAACAAGCTGACGCAGATCACTAGGGAGGGGTTCCGTTTGACCGAATAGTGTTGAGAGAAGTAAATCATCGATCGCCTCTTGGATAGGGTCAACGTAATCTTCAAACGACTTGGATTTGTAACCCTTCGAGAAAACAGCGTAGGCTGCATGAGGCTGGCTCCTTGCTATCTCATCAGATAGTGCTTCGAGTTCTCCTTTGCATCTAAGGATTTTTTCCCGACAATTTTGACCTTTGAACTCTTGAGATCCGATGACGGAGTGGCGCTGACCTCCAGTTGTAACATTGACCTCATCTCCAAACACCCTTTTTGCCTCATCTGTAAGTACGTACGCCCGACTTGACAGTCAGCCAGCTCTTTGATCCATTCGCTAGATAACCATACTTCTTTCGTTCCTGACTCAGGTGATTGTACCAGTTATACAACGACACAATTTGTCCACCCCCGCAGAGTCGTCGGCCAGCCATACTTGTTTAACACCTGGTGTGCTTGGCCTTAAACTCTGGATCATGATAGATGAATGGACAAAGTACCAGGGGATGGCCAAGGGATCCCCCTGCCTCGTACCCTCCTGTGATAATATATCACCTCCGCTGCAAAGAAAGCCTCAAGGGGCTTCTGTAGGTGTTAATGATGTAAACTGATATTCCCTTACAGGTTATCTGGATGTTATTATGCAAGGCGACGGATCTGTTCCTTTGGTTAAAGGCGCTGCTTGCATGTACCAGTAAAATACCATCTGTTCCTTCCTCTACAAACACTTGACTCATGGCATGTATCGCGGCCTGTGCGTCTGCATTATGGCCTGCGCAAACCCGAGGGGGGCCCGCTTCCTCTTTGATCTCTTCCTTCAAAAATCCATCAATAGTTTTTCCAATAATTCGCCTCAGGACCTCACCAACGCCAATAGGTCGTATTCCAGGGTTTTTGGCCAAGGGGATTAGTCTGCAAGAGGTATAGCCTTCCAGCAAAGATGGATGGTAAGCGATTTTCAACAGATTTCTTGTGAAAACGGCTACCTCCTCTCTCAAAACGTTGCCCTCAGCCTTAAAATTCTTAGAGCAAAGGATTCTTCGATATAACTCAGCATCCATCCCCGACGGCCCGGCTGAGCCTTTTTTTTTTTTTTTTTTTTTTCCCGCATCAAAGATATTTTTCTTGTCGATCAAATCAAAAACGCCGGGGGGAATTTAATCAATGGGCCCGTATAAAAAAATCTCATCCGCGAAACTTGCCCCTCCCGGGGGTTTCCCCTCTTGGGCTTCCTATTTTAAGGTTTTGTAGTCCGCTTGTGCTCTCCCTTCCCAAAACTTATATGTTTTTCTTCCGATAAGTATATTCACTCTTTTATTATTTTTTTTTTTTTTTTTCTGTCTACTCATTCCCCCCATTCCCCCCCCCCTACCCCCCCCCCCCCCCCTTTCCCCTATTTAACATACATTTTGCTTTTTTCCCCCCCCCCCTCCCCTCCGCCCACTCCTTCTTTTTTTTTTTTTTTTTTTTTTTTTTTGCAGCATCAAAGATCATTTTCTCGTCGATCAAGTCAAAAACGCCAGGAGGAATGTAATCAATGGGCCCGTATAATAAACTCTCATCCGCGAAATCTGCCGCTTCCGGGTGTTTCCCCTTCTAGGACTTCTGGTGTAAGGTTAAGTAAGCCCGTTGAGCTCTCGCTATCCAAAAGCTTAATAGCTGCAGATAACTTTCCTTGGAAAGCTAGTTTCGCAAAAACTTTGGATATGTCCTCAACTGTCCTAGCCTTCTTCAAATTCACAAACCTACCTTGGATGAATCTCACTTCTTTTAGCAAAAGATCTAAATCTCCTTGCCACCACACGTTTAATCTTAGTTCTATCGCTGCACTATGCTCCTTGCTTTTACAAGTAGCGGACGACTTTTAAGGTTGGGAGCACCATAAAAGCTTTCAAAGCAACGGAGCTTAGACCCGAATTCGAATTAAACTGCTTTATCCAGAATGTTAGCTCATCTATAAAGGCTTTTCCGGCTCTTCCCGATGATATATTGAAAATATTTCATCTGAAATAGACAATTTCATCGTAAACACCATTAATAGTATCACAGAAGCTCTCGTGACTGATATTGCCCCACGGTTTGTTCTTGATTTCAATGGGAAAAACCTCGTAATCGGGTAGGTTTGGTTGAATTGTGCTTTGCGCTCTCTGTGTTGTATCTTGAGATCTCTGGGGAGAAGTAGTTTGCTTAACTTCATTACTTGCTTGATGAAACACATCCGCATCAATCACCAACGTGTGCAAATCCAAGTTCACAGAGTTTGCAAAATAAGCATTTTCAGCTTGCCGGGGAACATTGTTTTGATAAGCAGATTGACTACTTTCTTCAAAAACCTCTCCTTCACTGGACTCAGATTCTCCCTTGTTTCCCTCCGCTAAACTGAAGTTTCCGTTGTTCCTCGCACGATCCTACAGCTTTTTTCCCCAATCTTGAGGCCTGATCTCTCAGGTTTTCACTCTTTAACTCAAGGTATCCATAACCTTTCTCCTCCCATAAATCCTTTATCAGTTCTATATAACCTTTCTTCCTTCCATTTTTGTAATAAGAAGAGTTATTTGAAGATACCATTTCCTTGTTTTTTTCTTGCACTCTAGAATATAAATCGCTGTTCATTCGTTCTGTCCATTTCACCTTAATTGCTTTTCTCGACATGTCCACACACATGCATTATTATTATTATTATTATTATTATTATTATTATTATTAGTTCAACAGACCTTTTTCGTTCCGCCACCCGCCCACCCCCCCACCCCCCCAAAAAAAACGTGAATTAGGTGAACAACATGATCCATGCTGGCTTACAGGCCGTGACTGTAAATTTCGAGGATCGCTGGCCAGGGTAAAAAAGTGGAACATTTTGATAATTTGCAGCAAACCCCTTTGGGGAACTATCTTGGAAAAAAAAATATTTTCAACTTTCAGGAATCTATAAATTTAGAAAACTGAAATATTTTCGTTTAAAAGTATTATATCTTTAATTTCTATCCACAGTATGTTTTAAATTATAAACTCGATTTTGAATTTTTTCCTTTTTTTACAAAAAAAACTACCCTCAAACGCACTTTTTAAAATGGGTAAAAAATGATCAACTTCAGAGGCAAGAAACTCATCTTGGTATGTGTGATACCTAGCCAAAATGTATACTAGGACAAATTTCAGTTCGTGTGTGTAATCAAATGATGACGAGCGAAATTAGGGAATAATTTCACCCGCGTTTTGTCCAAACCCTTATAGCACTGAAACGCCCGAGGAGGTCGATATATCAAAGCAATGGGTGTACAAGGCATTGTGGTTAAAAATCCAGAGGCATCGTGGGTAGAAATCGAAAATTTTTGTCCCTGTACAGATTAGGTCTGCTGCCTTGCTCGCTCGCTTCTTTCTCGCTTGCGCGGCAGCAATGAATGATACAGTTTCATTTTTTTTTTGTTTTGGCTTTTTAAAATTAATTAATATCCCGGAATGTTCTGAAATGTTCCGTATCCCGGGTTTTATCGACGGCTTAAATGATGCTGTCTTGCACCTAGGCCCACAACACAGTCATTTGCTAACGGCCGGCATCTGCCGCGTTTTGACAGCTGTTAATTGACCTTGATACGGTTGGAGTATAAAAATTAAGAAAACTGACGGAGGATTGTCGTTTTAGTTTGTGTGACATTTCAACGACATCAACTTACTTGTAGAAGTGAATTAACTGAGTAGGATGAGGGCTCCGCTATAAGAGACAAAAGGCTCGCATACAAAGTAAATTAGGAAAAAAACAATGATAAACAAAACAACTGGTCTGATTAAAAACATATTTTCTTTCATTGCAGGGTTTGCCAGAAATCTGGATTACAATGGTAAGTCAAGACTATTCATGAGTTGTTGTTACTGATTACCGCTTCCTTTAAAGAAAAAAAATGCCCATGGCTGGATAGTTTTCTTTAATAATTTGGATTTTCGTTATATACGTATAAAGTCAACGTATGAAAACGATTGAAATTACCAGTTAGATTTGCAACAGGATAGAATGCCTTACATTTTGGTCTGTATACCAGTTGTTATGTGAGCATAAAAATCTAAATGTGTGTGAGCATTCCTGTCACGCAGTATAGTGACTTTGTATGGTTAAACGCCACTTTAGTGAAAATGTTCTCTTAAAAACGTCGAATAAAGTTCTTAGCTTTTGGGGCCAACCGAATCAAAAGTGTTACACAATGTTGAAATAAATGTCCTCTCACTTCTTTCCTTTACACCTAGCTACCGGTATATGCTACAGACTTGGCTTTGATGTCAAGGCTCTCTCAATTTGCATGTCCAAGCGAAAACCTAGAACAAATCGCTAAGATCCCTAACCTGACTTGCCAAAACAACCCCGCACTGAAACTCAAGGGTGCCAAGAGTAACCAAAGTTAGACTGTTAAAAAACTATCCCACCCACCCCTGTGCTTTTGACATCGAGGTTCAGGTCGGAACCTGCAAACAGATTCAATCCGTGCTAAAGTATTTGTCTTGCTTATAGTTTCCTTGATGTAAATTTACACGACTTCTCTTTCATTAGCTCATTCCTTGATAATGGCGTCATGAGGTCGCCGAAACGTCGGGGCATTATTTGGTTAGCTTTTACTTGTTTGTGTATGACAAAATCATTGTTATAATGATACTTGTTGTTTTCTTTCTATTTTTATTTAAATTATTTCTAGCTGGTGGAAGATAGCTACCCACCTTGGATGGTCTTTACTTGATTTATCAGAAGGCTTGAGTCCTCTTGAATCTACTGATCCAAATTCAGAAGCCCTCGCTCAACTTTTATTTGCTGCTTACCTTGTTTTGACCCTTATCATGCTGATCAACATGCTAATCGCGTTGCTTTCCAATACTTACCAGCGGGTGCAGGTAACTGTCAAAAACTGTCTGTTACTTGAGGTTATTTTACTTTATTTTTTTATTTTATCAGATACCTAATCTGTTTAACAGTAGCAATAGTAAGCAGTGTCTGTCAAGGTTAACAATTCGAGTGCGAAGCGAGATGATTTTTTGACTTGAGAAAACACGGGCGCGGTGAGTGTTTCGCTTCAAAACTGAATTGTTTGACCCCGCATTCCCGCTCCTTTTTCACACGAATCCCGCATCCAGAGTATCTGTCCTAGCCATCCCAAATATAATCGTCGTTCCCAATCCCGCATTCGTGCTCATTTTTGCGCAAATTTATCCTCCCGGGTAGCAATCAAATCCCGTCTCCTGTTATCGTCTCAGGAATCCAACACTGTATTTTGGTGAAATCCAAGATCCCAGAAATATCCTCTTACTCTCTGTATCATTTTCTTTTAGGATAATTCACGAAACGAATGGCTTTTCAAAAAAGCAATTGCAGTCCAGACGTATCGAAACTATCATCCCATTCCAGTACCGTTTAATATTTTTTCTATTCCTGCTCTGTCGATATACAAACTTTGTAAGGGAAAAGCGGAAGAAACAGATCCGTTGAAGGGCAAAAGTTTAGGAAAGGTAAGTCGTTTTTTTTTAATAACTTCAGACTTACTGGTCGTTATAGTGTCTGATTTATTTCACGCTCTCTTCTGCTTAATGATACTGCAACTTATCAATCAATCAATGAGTAACTTGAGGACGTGTCGGCAAAATTATTTACCTACGACGAACTCAGCTACAAGGGTTCCGGGATTACACGAGCTGTGCCGGTTCGCTTTGTAGAGGCGGCTTTTATCGTGGTATGCACGCCAGTGATCTCGATACCTAGATCCCAGCCAACCGGGCTAGCTTGGTTGTCATGTAATCACAAAATTGATTTTTGGCGCGGAGAACCATCCCAGCTGATATAGTCAGAATCTAATTTAAATCAGTCAGATGTCTTTTACTTTTAATCGCATTAGAAAGAAGAGTGTCTTCCGACCTTCTCCACACCGATGGTACCTCTGTAATAGAACAATAAAAATTCTAGTAGTTAGCTCTGCACTTGAAAATCACGAGAGGCATTAACTTGAGAAATGTTCAAGCAGGCTATAATTCTAGTTATACTTTAATTCCAAAACTGAAAAAATGGTATACACTAGAACCTGGGTTACTCGAACTGTGAAGGAAAACAAAAAACAGTTCGAGTTAGAGGGGCTCGAGTTATCGGGATCAATTGAATATTCAATGTGCCATGTTAAGAACTGATAGTTACTGATTTTTCGGCTCTTCAATGTATAATACAGTAGCTCGCTCTTGCTGGGTATCCCAATAAAAATAGCAATAATGGAAAAATAGAAAGCGCGCGGAGGAAGATGGGAAGGGAGAAAAGCTGGAGCCTCTGCCATATAACGCATTCAGGATGGCGCCGAATTTCCGAGAAAGACAAGACTGAAACTAGATCGCATTGTTATAGATGTTTACAAAGTGGCGGATATGGTGCAACAGGTTTCCCTTCTCGTGCAACCCTTCCAGCGGGTAAATCAAAGTGTAGGACTGGGATGTGTTAAATACTTTTAGAATGGTGAACACTGATGTCAAGATCA